CATTTTTTAGATCTTAAATCAAAGCTTGGTTTCTTAGGAAGTCTTCTTAAGACCATCTCTATCAGTCAGGTGTCTGGCATGAAAAATGCCTAAAGAGTATTTCGAAGAGATCAAATAATGGTCCAACTTACAATTATGTAGTAAGGTTAAGGGAATAATTGATGTTGAAGCTCCCAGAGACTGACACTAATGGAGAGTTGGTTTCAGATCTAGGCTTGAAGAGACACAGAAGGAGAACTTTATGGAAACAAACAAAAATATTGAAAGCAATGGAATGGAAAAGCCCATGTGAGAAGAGTTGACAACATGGAGAGGACATAATCACTGTAAAATGTCAGCCCATCAAAAGGTGCTCTTTTCTCACACTCCATTGTCCTGTCAGTTTCACCCATTGACATAAACCAGTCATAAACCAGATACCAAGTTTCTAGAGATGAACTGCTTGATTCACAGAACAAAGTAAGACAAGCAGTAAATGGACGTGGAAGGACAAACTGCAAATGGCCAGCATAATCGACTATTTTCTCTCTAAGCATCACCCCTATTTGAAACACAGGGAAAAGAAAGTTCTCCAGCTACTATGTATCACAAGATTTCAACCTGGTGACACTTCCAGTTGGCTACTAAATTATGTTTCCCACCATGAATTCCGATCATAAAAGGTAACACGAAGAAGGGCAAAAAAAAAAAATACTTAGCATAAAATGTATCTTGTACAGTCTCCAATTTTGTAGGTAAATTTGAAGGCGCAACTGATTTATCAAAGCTTCCTTCCTCCACCATCATTCCATATTCATTTTACCCTCTTCTAGCACTTTGGCAGATTTTCCCCAAATATTCATTCTCAAAGGATGTATAACAAAACAGGTCCTCTCTCTATTGGCTTGCCAGTTTCCCATTGAGCATTATTTCTAGGCACAAGAGTTTCAATATGTATCCCAGTAAATCTCTGGGTCCCAGAGGCAATCTTTAATTGGTTGTGTAGCAGCAGCCTAATTTATTTGGTAATAGTGTTCAATCAACAAAAGCAGTACAGTGACCCTCTTTCTGACAGTTAATTCAGTAATAATAAGCTACAGAAGACCAGAGTGTCATCTCACGGTCTATTTAGTGGAAGGATGACTGGAATTTCATGGAAAATACACCAATCCCATGAGGTGCTGTCTCCCTGCCAGAACCACACTGAGTCTTCAGTAGGTCAATCCATGAAAGTATCATGCCAGCTGCTTCTAGATAATGTAGCACATGGTGAGATCAGTGAGCTCTGTGGGCATTAGCTGGAGCTCTGTCATAATAAAATGAGTGTCTTGGTCTGAGGCAGTATTTAAGAGGATACCATGGTGATAAATAAGGCTCCCTCATGGCAGACACATTGTAAACAGAGATAGAAAATCCATCTCTAAAATATGTAGCTGTCCCCATGAGGACAAATCACTGCCCCCCTCAATTATGGAAAGAGTTGAATATAATCACCCTGTAATATATGGTCCCTGATCACCAAATCCACTTAGCATGATGTCATCCATCTAATGGCCAAGCATTGTCTCTGGGCAATTCAAAATGATCGAGGTCCTTTCAGACTACATAATGCTAGGAGGCAGGAGAATTAGCACAGCTCTGGAATGATATTGTGAAGTTATACACTTACTCCTGCCACATAAAAAACCTTTCTGATAATTTTTCTTGATAGAAATAGAAAAAAAGGCATTTTATGGATTAGGATCACCAAAGTACAGATCATCTGCTAAATCTGGCTGATTGTTTTCATATGGCTGTATTTCTGTGTTCATAAGTAAAATTTCATTTTGTCACAGACATAATTATTGATTCATGTACTGCCTATTACTAGTTTCCTGTTGCAATAGCAAGGCTAGCTAGCTGAGTAATTCCGAGTGGGCTCCTTACAGAAAACATTACCCTCTCTGGTGGCAGAGCATCTTTTTTCAGTGGCATGTTTTTTCTCTCCAGCAAAGACAGAGCATCCAAAATATCAACTGTGATTAGTATCACTTTCATCTGATGAGGTTTATTATAACCCAATGACTCTCCGGTAGTTTGGGAATTTTGCCCCAAATAAGCAAGTTAAATGTAATTTTTCAAAAACTCAATACTCCAATCTTCAAGTATTTGATAATAGCATTAATTTCTACAATTCCCCCAAAAATGAAATATTGCTTCAAGAATTTATTTTAGTGCATAATACAGGGTGAGGGCACTTCTAAAATCTTTAACTTGTCCACTACTGTAACAATCTTCATGCCATGGGTAAGACTACTAATGTAGGGAATCTTCCCCTTATGATCTATTCTCAGTATATATTCTGATCTGGGAAAATAACCACATAATGCACCCACACTGCCAGCGCATCCAGTATGAGTCAGACTGAAGGTAAGACTCCATCATCACCTCACTTCCATCAACTTTTAACACTAACTTACAGACTACAGTAGTATTTAAGATACCCAGGGAAAAGTGTTGATTCAAAGTTAGAATCTAAAAATGCCTCTGAAGCTCTGTGTGTTGCCTTTCTTCATGCATAGTTATCCTAGCAGACTAGTTCTGCTAGTGAAGGTTTAGAGTAAGGTACATAGTGAACACCTGTGGCCGCAATGCAGCATCCCTTAATGGACCAGCTTCTTCCTCAATTAAGGGATTCCAGATCTGTGGACAGGCTTAGGTCTGGCAACACCATAAAACTGAATCCCCAGTGTAGCAGCCCAAGTCAGGTTTCTGTTAGACAGAAACTTTAAACCTTAGACATAAACCATTAGGCTGTTTAAATTTTTCATTCCCAGTTATCCCAAGTAGTATCAGATATCTGCAAATTGAAATATTCAATTACTACTCTTCTTTGTCCCATATTTGATAATTTTCCTCCCACCATTTTGATGCTTATCTGCGAACACTTGATCTCTACCATTCCAGGTTCCCATTATTCCTTTGAAATCGGGCAAATCAATTCCCCCAAAACACCCCCTACCAATCATCCTTCGCATTCAGAAGAGAGCCACAACTCAATCCTTTTGTAAGAATTGTGGTGCTTAATGACTTGATAATGAGAGGGTCAATAGGGCACTCACAGATTATAGTTGTAGGACAGCTGAGTATGAGGCACATTTTCAATTGCAGCATTCTCATCTCTCAGAACCAAACTTCTTCCCCTGCAAAAATTCAGGGAAGGTCTTGCTTTTGAAACTCCTTAATTGTAAAATCACTTCCAGACATTATTTAACCAGATGGGTAGATTGCTAATGCCACTCCCAAGGTGCTTGAGCCAAGACAGTGAGACACAAATCCTGTGTGTGCACACATATTGATAAATCTGATTTGAACTCATCATAGATTTTATCTTCATTAATTTATCACTCTTAAAACCTCTTCCTTTACTTGCTTTCTATCCTTATGTGAAACAACTAACAAGGTTCTACAACTTTTTTAGTGTGTCTTCTTTGCACCTGGTGTGGGCATTGACTTTGCACTTCTCCCTTCAAGTTATGCTAATCTCTGAATCGATGCTTTGACCTCATCTACCAGTAAGTTCCAGAACAGGATTTGACTGCATTTGCATATTACATTCCCCTCAGCACATAATGTGTAGTGACCCGATTGTTATAAGAGGAAAGTGACAAAACTCTAAAACATGTTATATAACTCTAATTTTTTTAAATACTGGCAAAAGAAAAAGCAAGGTATTGAAAAAAATAACAATTATTTTTAAAACAAAGGTGACAGTTAAAATGACAAAAAAATATTCATTGTTTATCATAATGAATCAGGCTAAGAAATTTGAAAATATGGAGAAATTGCCACCTCATACACTACCAGTGACAGTATAACTGACCTGAAACAGCAATATATTGTAGGATAATTTGAAAACATTCATCAAAATTATATTTTAAAAATCAGTAAAATATAACATATCTATGCTATTTGAGCACCTACACAATTATCTTTGGATACACTGTGTACAAGTGTCTGAGATGGCCATGATAATTTTTACACTGCTGAGAATTAAAAACAAAATATCTAGCAATAAATCACTTTATATAAAACATTACACAATATTACAAAAGATAATGTATAGTATATTTATATGAAAGCTGTTGACAGAATTTCAGTAGAAAAGTAAAAAAATAAAAATAAGAGATTACAAATAATGTATCATGAACAGATGTAGGAAAATTGTTTAAAGGAGAGAATATTATTTAGTAAAAACATTCTCATTATAATTGGGAAGATGGTGTGTTATACACTGGCATTAAGAATTACACTATATTGTAAAAGAAATGTAATCCAACATTTTTTTTCCAGAAAAAAACTAAGTAAACCTAGTAAAATTGAGTACCTCTGTCAAGAAAGGCATACAATTGAAATTTATTAGCCTACATTTTTTATTCAATGAGAATAAGCTGAAAGGTAATCTAAGATTCAGTTTACAAACTAATAAATTAGATACTGCAAAAATAGGATTTTCTTTAAGAAATATTTTGGAAAACTTAAAGCAAAGATACTGTGCATTCAGTTATCCAGAGATCTTCAATGACTAGAATATAGGAGTGAAAGTTGTCAAGGAAAAAGTAGAGAATAAAAATAGTTCTTCAAAAACGAGAAATTAATTCAAACATTAATTTTCCACCTAAAATTCACAATGATCTTGAAATCACACTTTACAGTAGATGTGTAACAAACTTTTATTTTTCTACTTGACAGAGTCTTCCATTTCACATGTTGCCATTATAATCCTAAAATGGAATGATTGTCCGACTGATGGTCAGAGAAGAAAAGCTGAAAGAATCCACAAATTGGCTGACCAGTGCCCAATTCAGAGTCTGAATATGAAACCACTCACCAATGGTTACATAGAATGTATAATTCCTGGACAAGTTGTAACAAACTGTTGTGTGTAAAGTTTTTTTAACACCACATTTATATCCACAGAAAATTGAGACAAAATAAAGTCACCCTATGTTATAAGACACAAGCAATAATAATTGCCATACCTGGTATTGCTGAACGTAAATTCCATTTCTCCTGGTCCTCACAGTTCTCAGTTCTCCATTGACTTAACTCTTCCTGAAAGGACTGGGAAGAAGCTTCTTCATCAAATGACCCTTCACACAAGAGCCTCTCTCCTGGCTTTGTACATTCAGCTCTTTTTGCTGTTGTAATTTCTACCTAAACCAGTTATAAATGGATCTAGTTGAACTTTATTAAATTTTCTGTAAAATGCAATGAGACTAATTATTAGTCATTATAAATCAGACATGTTTCACCTTGAAATCCAATGGTTTTAAGGTGTACTTACTGAAATACTTTACTGTTTTGTTTAAAACCCTATAAGCAGTCATAATTAGTATCTTCAGAAATTATCAAAGCAATAGCTTGCAGATAGGTGACTTGTCATTGTGCTGTTAACTATTGTTTTCCCTATGAAACTGCAATGGTCTGTATCCATTTCCTTCTACTTCCCTAAACTCCTACTACCTATAACCTGTCCATGCTAGAACAAGTAGTTTTCTTATAGGTTAATGTGGTTATACCATTCCCTTCTCAAAACTGTTCACTCTGAAGTGCCAGTGTTCTACAAGGATCCACAAGGCCATATGGCACCTTATACTTTGATGCCCTGTATTTATTTTATCACCTCCTGTTCTCCCCTCCATTTACCCTGCTCCAGCTTAACTTACATTCCCCCAGTTCAGGGAACCCATAGAACACATTGTTTTCAGGGCTTTGCACTACTTATGTCCAAGGCCTGGATAGATCTTTCTCCACATCTTCACACAGTTATTCTTCTCCTTTAATAACTGCACAATAAAAGCAAGTCCAAAGGTCATAAATAACTCATATGAAGTGATGCCTGAACTGGGTTTTATAAGAAAGAGGCAATAAGCCCATTAACAAAAGAACGAGAGACTATAATCATATTCCATAGAGGGGGTAATGATATCTATGCTGCCACATGGAATCAAACAGCATTGTGCATGGAACTGCAAGTAGTTTGTGTTGGCATAAAAAAGTAGAAGATGAGAAAAACCTACAGTAAAAAAGCAAGGAGGCCCAAATCATGAAGGTCCCTGGCTGCCAGACAAAGGAATTGGCTTAAAACTGTTGGAACTGTAAAACTACTGGAAAGTCCCACACAGTAGCGAGGGAGAGAGATATTGGTGGATAGTGAGGTAGGATGCAAAGAAACCACTTAAGATGTTACAGACACTTGGCCACATTGACCAACATTACAAATGCCTAAGCTTCTTTAGGAATTTCAGGATTTTACCATATAGATATTTTTTCAAATTTGTACTTTATATTAAGGTTGTACTGGGAAAAAACCTTGGAAAGAGAAGGCTGTAGAATGTATTGATATAGATGCAAAAACTGTATTTTCAGTGGGCCTGGGATGTAGCTCAGCGGTACAGTGACTGTCTGGCAAGTGCAAGGCCCTGAGTTCCATCCTGATACTGGGAAAAAAAGTTTCTTGGGGTTAAAAAAACCCACTATATTTTCAAATATAAAAAGCATGTTTTCAGACCAATATGCAAAGTAGATTAACATTTTACAAAGAAACACATACATACAAAACTGGAAATGTTGACTGACTCTAGAAAGGGTGAGAATTAAATGCACTTTTCACTATATCAACATTTTGTCCCTTTTAGAAAAAAAGCTAGTTGAGGTATTTGGAATGGCAATAAGGACAGAATAAGTGATCAAATATTCCAAGAAATATTTCAGGCGGTAGATTGCATGGGATGTGGTAATTAACATATATTAAATTGTGCCCCCATCCAAAATTCATACGTTGAAGCTCTAACCCTCCCCATCAGTGTAACTTTATTTGAAGACAGGGCCTATAGAGAGGTAATTAGGCTTAAATGAGGTTAACAGCGAAGCCTTAATCTAGGAGAACTGGTATCTTCAGAAGAGGATGAAGAGAACATTTTTATCTGTTTTCCCCCCCTTCCCTCTCCCCCCTCCTCTCTCCCCTCCCCCTGTCCTTTCTCTCCTCCTCTCTCCTCTCTCCCCTCCCCCTGTCCTTTCTCTCCTCCCCTCTCCTCTCTCCCCTCTCCCTCCCTCTCTCCCCCTCCCCCCCTCCTCCTCCTCTCCCACCATGTCCACCTTGATGTTGCACAGAGAAAAGAGCACATAAAGACACAGGAAAAAGGTAGCATCTATAGGCCAAAGAAAACCCTCAGTAGAACCCAAGTTTGCTGAATCCTTGATCTGGAACTTGTAGGCTACATACAATAAATTTGTTCTTTAAGCCATGTGGTTATTTTGTTAACAGCAGCCTGAGTAGACTCATTGGATGTGCATATTGATTGGAAGTTCAAAAAGGAAGACAGGATTATAGAAAAATCTGCTTTGAAAGCTGCATAGGGTACCGCCAACAGTAACATCTATAGATTTTGGAAGAGAGGGAAAGAACATAGTGTGAAGATACTGAGTTTTAGGAAAATTGGGAAGATACTTACAGGTATCTAGTACACAACCTCTCAGTGTATCTGGTATGTATGGTGCAGATTATGAAGAGGCACAGAAAACTGTGTGCCTTAATACAAAATGATTTAAGTACACACTGAGTCCAGCAGCTTTTCAGAGCAGTTCTGTTACAAAAATGAATCAGAGACGTAACACTTTTGTAGTTGTAGCTATACTTTTGGAATACCTGGTTTCTCCATGTCTGTAAAAGGGTAACAAAAAAGCTTTCAAAATGTTTCATCTTAGAATTGCCATACATTGCTTCCACTCAGAGCCCATGACCCTGCCCAATTCCAAGGGGTAGAAAATTGGAAGATGCAATGGGTATCCAATCTTGTGATCACTAACATACAAAAATACCACATCTCTGTAAGGGATGTCCCCAAGTAGAAGAGGAAAAAGCAAAGGATCAGAAAGGCCAATGATTGTGCAAATATTTTAGTATCCCAAAGCCAGGTTTCAATCTCTAAAGGTAAGCTCTTTCATGAATATCATCTTTCTCCAAGGATATACCATTGGTTTGAATCCATTTTAAAAAGTGAGACACTGAGTTTGATCCCCAGTAACAAAAAACAAACAAACAACAATAAAAAGTGAGATAGATGTCAGACCTAGGCATTATTGTGACTCTTCCAGCCACAAGAATTGTTTGAATGTGCTAATTAAGAATCAGATTCCTGAGCCCTAACCCAGAAGGTATAGCTAAATTAAAAGTTTGGGTGGCAGACTAAGGAATATTTTTTTTAATAAACTCATTGAGTACTTTTGATGCTTACTTCAATTTCAGAAGTACTGCTACTTAGCACAGAGGAGTGCCAAGCCTACAAGAGGGTTACCTTTCCAGTGTATACCTGTACACACTGAAGGTCACCTGAGCACTTGAGGAGTTGGTAAAACCACATGAGTCTAGATGTTACATCATCCTTCCCCCAAGGAAGACATCCTGAAATCAGTCAGGTGTATTTCTTTAATGTTTTTTTTCCAGTTGATTTCAATATAAACCCCTGGATGAAACCATTGAATTAATGGTTTACAAGTTAAGACATGAGATAGAGAGCTTGTAGGGTATATACAATTACCTTTGGGTATCAAATGTTTTTTCTTATATGACAAACCAAAAAATTGATAAGAGCAAAATCAAAGATACAGAACAGGAGAAGAAACAAGGAGGCAGACTTTGTGAAGATGGGAAAGAGATCTGAGGATGGAGGAAATAGGAGAGAGGGGAAGAAAAGGGGAAGTAAAAATAATTAATATGCAGCATGTATAGGTACTAGTGCTCTAAAATGAATGAAATAATCATGTATCACATATATATGCTATTAAAAAGATAAACAAAAATTGATTTCACAAAAACATTTTTAAAAATTAAAAGCTCAAATGGGACCTCTAGACCTAGTTCGTTGAGGTATCTCCATACTGATTTCCACAGTGGTTGCACCAATCTGCACTCCCACCAAAAATGGAGAGAGGTCCCATTTGACCCAGCTATTGCCCTGCTGGTATCTTCCCAAAAGAATTAAAAGAATCATACCACAGCGATGTATGTGTACCCATGTTTATAGCAGCACAGTTCATAATAGCTAAAGCTTGGAAACAGCCCAAGTGCCCATCAACTGGAAACTGGATAAAGAAGATGTGTGTTTTTTATAAGATGGAGTACTACTCAGCTATAAAGAATGAGAAACTAGAGACATTTATAGCTAAATGGATGCACATTGAGGCCATACTCTTAAGTGAAGTAAATAGGACAAACGTGTAAATACCGAATAGTTTCTCTAGTGTGAGAAACTGAAAGTGTAAATAAGGATTAAAATGATTAAAATGAATAATTGATCATTTGAAATAGGAAGAAAAGGTCCAAAGGGGTAGAGGAAGTGGGAGGGGAAGGGGAAAGGAAAGAAGGGAAAGGAAAAATTATGAGAAAAGAAAAAAATGGAAACAAAGTCTTTGTAAATAGGGAAGGGTGGAGGGGGTGAAGGGCTCACAGGTAATGGGCAAAAAATAAGAACCAAGATACATCATGTACAGGTACAAGCACCCAATGATAAATGTAAATGTATTGTATACCTAAAATGTACCAATAAAAGAATTTAAGCAAAAAAAAAAATTAAAAGCTCAAAGAACTCTATTTGGTATTACTGAAAGTATAAATAAGGATCAAAATGTAGAATAGATAATTTGAAATAGGAAGATGAGGCCCAAAGGGGAAGGGGAAGTGGGAGGGGTAGGGAAAGGGAAAGGAATAAATATGAGAAAAGGAAAAAATGGAAATGAAGTATTTGTAAATAAGGAGGGGTGGGAGGTGGAAGGGAGGGCAGGGGAAGGGGAAAAAATAAGCACCAAGGTGTATCATGCATGCACAGCTACAAATCCCCAATGATGATTGTCATCATATTGCATATCTAAAATGTACCAATAAACTTAAGGAATTTAAAAAAACATTTTAAAAATGAAACTCAAAGGATTCTGCCATCCCACAGCTTTTGAGTTTGGCTATTTACTTTACTTTTCTTTATCTTTTTCATCTATTAAATAAAGGTAATAGCAGTACAAAACTTACACAACGATTGTGATTATTATATAAGATAAGTAAAGCATTAAACACAATGTCTACAATAAAGTGTTTGATAAGTGTTAGCTGTTGAATTATTACTATTATTCTTGCAGGATATGTTAGATAAAATGGAAGA